ACTACTACTACTACTACTACTACTACTACTACTACTACTACTACTACTACTACCACTACTACTACTACTACTACTAATTCTGATGCTGCTGCTACAGTGCTACCGCTGCTGCTTCTACTACTACTACTACTACTACTACTACTACTACTACTACTACTACTACTACTACTACTACTACTACTACTACTACTACTCGTCTGTCCTTACATAACTAACTCACCTGCCAGCGCGAACATCGAAGAGTACACAGCCATGAGCCATGACGTCCAGATAACGTCACTTCCGTAAGTGCTCTGAACAGCCACGTTCAAAACCCCCACATGGTAACACACAGCTCCATTCACCAGGAAATTCAAACAGGACATTGCAAGCACCAGCCATTTCTCTTTGCTTTCTTCCCTCCGTGTCATTTCTACTTCGTCTACAAGTAAGTTTGGCCTCCAGTCGGCTTGCGGCCGGCCGATCGCACCGGTACAGCAGCTGTTCCTGGTTGTTCTATAATTGTGACGACACAAAGATCAAATTGAATGCGATCACGCAAGCGCGAGCAGTACAGGCAAAAACTACGGACAAAGTGGTGACCCTATCAACGCTCACAAGTAAGATGTGTTGTAATCAATTGTGGCTGATTAACAATGTAGAGCTGTAACACAGCGGGTCCTGTCGTTAAAAGAAAACCGTGGAAATTCTGTTGAGGTCAGAACAATATTTTGATTATGTGAATAGATCTACATAATTATTAGATTTTATTGGCAATACGAGGGTGAGAAAGAAGGGGAGGATGAAAACCTGGGGAAAAGACAGAGAGGGGAGAGGTCAGAGAGATAGAGGATAGAGAGAGGAAGGGAGAGAGAAACAGAGAGAGGGGGAAAGAGAGACAGATAAAAGATAAGGAGGGGTTGTCTGTAAGAGAGAGGGGGGGGGAGGGAGAAAGAGAGAGAGAGCGAGCGAGAGAAAGAGAGGGAAAGGGGAGGGAGAGAGAGAGAGAGAGAGAGAGAGAGAGAGAGAGAGAGAGAGAGAGAGAGAACAGTTTAGAGAAAAAGGGGAGAGAAGGCAGAGAAGGAAAGGGAAGGTAAACGATAAAAAGACAGGGGGTTTAAAAGGCCCAAGTGAACGCAGATAAACAAACAACAAGAGAGACAGACACAATATAATCTATCTCACGCAGCTACGAGCACAGCGATTCAAGAGTGTTAAAAACATCCCTTGAAAGCTCTTTCCGTCTTCCTACCCCATAGATCAATGCTGCGATCTTATTTATCCTTTCATTTCAACAATCACCCATAATGAACAATTATACACCAGGCCTCTCCTTGAAAACAAAAATAATATCTTAAAATGTGTTTTCCCCAAGCATTCTCGTTTTTTGCCCTCTGACATTTAAGTCCCCCCCCCC